AACGCAACTTGGTTTTGCCTTTTAAATTTAAGTATAATTAAAAAAAATACGCCTATAATATCAAGTAGCTTATTAGAAAATTACTCAAAAATAAATTAAACGTACCTATATTTTTAAATTTATAAAAAATCTAATTTGATTCAAAAAAATAAAAATACAGCTGGAACATTTATTGTACCACAGACAAGTTTACAGAAAAAATATATTTATAAACATGTGTGTATGAAATGGGTCAGATTCTAATTTGAAATATTTGGAAGCGAAAACAAATTCTTATTTCAGGTGTTAACCCTCACCTACAAACACGAATCTATTAAGTAATATTCGTTCGCCCATCATCTCAGCGGGCTATTTTAAGAACTCAAAGGGAACGAAAAATCTCTCTTTAAATATTATTCGCGAGAAGACAATAAAGAACCCACTTACAGCCCGACGTAATGCTATCGGAATGCAAGCAATGCAACAGATGATACGAGCACAAAGCTTTTTATTTTTTTTATTTTTTTCGTAGCCCTCTTTAACAATTTCCGGTATAAGAGCCGATTGCATACAATTAGAAATGTTAAAAACATTCCCAATAATTATTACATTTATAACTTATAACTATAAATAAAAGTTTAATTCAAAACTTACGTTTAAAAATATCACTACATAAAAATAAGTTAGTTGAAAACACAAACACGTTAACTGTGTACACTACCGAACACTGCACTGTGATCTGTCAAACTTTCGTCCAGAGTGTTGCGAGCTTCACGATTATATTTACCGCCACTAAATGTATCAAAACTCAAGCTGCAAACAAATCGTTATAATTATATACTAAGTATAATTTTATTTGAATAATGAAATTAAATTATGTGTTTCAATTTTGTCATATTTTCTTCTTTATTTCTTAAAGTTATTGAGATATATTTCTACTTTGATATAATAGTGTTGCTACTTAAAAAAATTAATCTCCCGCCTTGCACTTGGTACTAAATACTAATCACTGACCAGTCACGAAATTCTTCGCCAGTTGAGAGGTTCACGTTACCTACCTTTTATTATTATTAGCAGACTAAAAATAGGTCAAATATTTAAAAATGCCGCTTGGTACAGACCGAGATGACGAACAGTTGTAACATGTAATCACATTCGCGAGTGGAGAGTGCGAAGTGAAAGACCATTTCACTTTGATAAGATTTGATCGACTTCTTGTATGATTCATTCCTTTACGAACAGAACACATTTAAAAGAAAGATTTATGCACTTTTTAATGACCTTAACAACTAAACGCTTGTGAGTGTTCTTTAAAACATGCGGGCAATGTTTTGTAGTATCTTTTATAATAATTTCACACCTTTCCTTGATTCTCGAACAAAGGTTCGTTGATCCTAGCTCAATAAATTATTAAAATAAATCCTCCGTGAAGCTGCTCGGAGGTTTATGGATCATCATTTTGATGTCGGTGTTTCTCGATTACATTTTATGATTTGTAACGGCTCGCTTTCGTTTAACGATAGTTTTTGCGCTTCTTTTAAATATTTTGTTTTATAACATTATTAAAAACTTTGTTTGTTTTTGAATGGCTTATACTCGTATGTCAATTAATTATGTAAATGAGTTTATTCAGTTAAAATCGTACTCTAATCTACGACATAGTGTTGTACTTCCTACAGTGACATTTTTTGGCTAATATATGAAAAGAAACTTGTTGATGTTTTCCCAAATTGCCATACCATCCTAAAGATTTTTTAACAATGCCCATAACTAGCTGTGAAGCGAAGACCTCTTTTTCTAGGATGTCATATATAGAAAACAAATACAGGACACAATGTCGAACTACCGACTAAATCTTTTATCAATTCTTTCGATAAATTGAGATTTAACAAAGGACCTACAGCGCGATGACCAAATAAAAGAATTTGCAGCAAAAAATGCAGAGAGGTTGCTTGTTAATTTAAATAACATAACCATAATATAACCTTTCAATTTATGTTGAAATAAATAATGTTTTAATAAATAAATAAGAATTTATTTTCCTATGTTCTTCCCGTATTTAGCATATACAGGGTGACTGGTGAATTACTATCAATACTTGAGGACGTGATATTTGACGATCATAAATGACAAAATAAAAATTAATATAACATAAATATTAATCAACTTCTAAGTAAAGTTAACCTAAAGTTATGTAATTAATTACGCATCGTGTGAACACCCTACAGATTAGGTATACACACACACACGCGTGCGGCAGCGAGGTGTTGTATCAGCACGCCGCCGCACGCGTCCACACTTGGAACACTTGCAACGTGTCCACACTTTATTTATTTATACGGAAATTTGGTCAAAAATTAAGTACCTATTTTTTTTACATAATTCGAATGAGAATCATGTACCGAGTGTGCTCCTTAAATATTGATAGAAATTCACCAGTCACCCTGTATATTACATACTAGAAGACCTGGCGAACTTCGCATCGCCCTATAATCAAGAAATATCTATTACGTTTTTTTATTTATATTTTTGGAGTTTACCTGTAAGCCTTAAATCTCCGTGTTTTGAAGTGCGACCGAATGATTGACATATTAGTTAGTTGTCAAATCTATTGTCAAAAAAAACGTTTGTATGGTAAATAGAAAAGGGCTGTTTTTATGGTTTTCCCAGTAATGAATCAATTTTTTTCAGCTTTTATACCTTCCCTGAACCTCCACGAACATTTCAAGACTAAGATAAGATAAATCCGTTCAGCTGTTCTCGAGTTTTAGCGAGACTAAGGAACAGCAATCCATTTTTATATATATAGATAGATATAGATATATAGATATATAGATACCAACATCACTACAGAAAACAATTTCTTGTCAAAATGGCAATTATTTCAGTAATTAGGTAGGGCCCCTAAGCAGTATTAGCCCAGGGCCCTAGAAATCCAAGATCCGCCCCTGATTTGATATTATACTGCATTATAAAGTTTAGTTTAACGGGTTCAACAAGGGCTTTACGAGGTAATTTAGAACTTTAGTTCGATTACTGCATTTTTGAAATAAACCCATAAACAATGTAAGTGTTATAATAATATATTATTGAAATTTATTATACATGTACATTGTACCTATATTTTTTTCGTTTTTTTTAATCTAGTTGAAGGTTTTAGTTTGTGTTTATTTTATAATGTTTTGTTGAGTTCTGATAATGACTTCTCATAAAGTTTAATTTCGACTCTCGTTAACATTGTATGTGCCCGTCTCGCTCGTGATGGTGATATGAGTGTGTCAAATAAAACATGTTGGGAACAGTAAACATTTTTATTTTATTGTAAATATTATTTATTGTATCATCTGTCACTTGCGACGCGTGTTGAAGCTGAAAACAACGGCCGAAAATATAGACTCAGTTAGGCACAGTTGACAGCACGTACTTCAGGACGTTGGACGCTTCAGATGAAGTTGAACAGACTTCACAGTCTACGGAACTTCAATATATATTGAGCTTATTATTGAAATGACAACGCCGTCAAGAAACAATGATAAAGATCACGAGTTGACTGAAGATTGTTGTACATCAGAGTGAAATGACACAATATGTTGCTTCAACTGTACTTCTGATTATATTATTGCTAAAATACTTAAATAAAACGTGTTACAATGAGCCTGTTTTGTACTGTGGCGTGCCTTACGTGTAGTGCTGAAGTGTTGCTAAGTGAGAAAGTATAGTGAAAAATATGAAAGCCATTGAATATATAATAAATAATAAAATTCACTTCTAAAAAGTTTACATCTTATTATGTACATGACCGGTAGAGAATTATTGCTGATTCAGTATACATTACTTGAACATCGCTTACGTGTGATGACATGAGTAATAAAATATTAAAATTATGAAACAATTAAAGAATTAGATATCGCCGAACATCCTGATCACATCATTTTAATAGCAATTCAATTTAATTAGTAACATTTTATCTAAGAGTTTTAAAGTTCAATTATGAATAAAAAAAAGTATTTACCATAGAAGAATATTTTTTTTAACAAATATAATTTTAGGACAGATTTTAAAGAACTAGATCAGAGTGTTTAGTCTAGCTTTTGAATAGATGTGAATCTAGAGAGCATCGGAACTAACGAAAACAATGACAAAACTACTTTTAAACGTTTTAACTATTCCGTTGGATTAAAATGAAACGATAACACTAAAATTAGTTTCTGAAACTACAAGTATCTTAACAGTCTACACGCGGGAACCAGTGAGTTTCAATACTTTGAATTAAGTCTATCATCTTAAGACGAAAAACATTATTCAAAAACATTGAACATCACCAATTATGATCACTAGACCTCACTACAGTTAAGAATCAACTTTAAAAGGTTACGTTATAATATTAGAAAAATACTGCTTTTAGTTTAGAAAAACTTGCTGAAAACCGATCTAATGATTAAGAGTTTAGTTCAATCTCGCCGCAGATACTGAGAAATAAAGTAACTCCTAAATATACTTAACTATCGCTCATCACAGCTCACTAGACGAAGATCAAGACTATATCTGTGATAATAAAAATAATATGTCAATGTTCCCATGATCAAGCCCGTCGCAGTGAGGAAGAATGCAAGCCAAGAAAATAGACATCTCTTAGTATAAAGACCCGTCGTTTTCATACATTGGACGCCATCACACAGTTGTAAATATATTATGAATGGTCGTCGCTAACACGTCAGTTGAAGCGATATGTTTCATTATTGTAGCATGTGTCGTGTACATAGTGTCCCAACGAACCCGATACAAATACTAATCTTAATATTCACATCTAACACATGTCCCGTCGAGAAAACAACACTAACTGTACATAAAGCTTTATAAAATAAAATGTTAACTTCGTTACGCTAACTCTAATACGGCCGCTCGTACGACACTAGACACGGAGAGTAATATACCGACATCACAGTGATTGTTATAAGAAAGCTTTATAATGTTACAGAGGAGATGAAAGCAAATTATATTATGATGTAGGGGCGGCTCGGCTAGAACCACGAGGACGCGCCGCCTAGCTTGGTGGACAACTCGCCGATACCACGACCGAACATGTTGCCCATCTGAAAAAGAAACGTGATATGTTTTATAACACAATAGAGAGTCAATATTACAAAAAACAATGATCAAGTCAATAATCGATGAGAGGATTTTAAATTAGGACATAATTTCCTTAAACTATGGATGTCATATGGCAGTACCGCTCAGTGAATTGTCAGATGTATTTCTTTTATCTACGATAGATGGCGCTTTACACAAAAATATTAAATAAATAGTTTCGTTTAGTATCCAATAGATGTCGCTAGTTTGTTTATAACTTATCTAACAACATGTTACCTTTCCAACAACAGCGGTAACGTTCCCCAGTTTAGCGTCTTCAGTGAGCGCCTCCAGTTTGGACTTCCCGCTCCTGGTTCCCTCTTCAGAACCTCCGTCGTCTCCACTTCTGTTAAATAATACACTTTTATTACTGTTAACTATCACACTGACAATTATATTGTTTGTATAATGCAACCATTATGATATTGAGTATTTTTATCAATTCCTTTTCAGCTTTATCGCTAGAGATGAAACCTCTTACCATTTTATGAATTCACGGTGCGGGTGCCGAGTCCATCGTTGTAGTGAGAGGAGCTTCAACAGTGCCTGGGACTTGCGACCCAGGTGTAGGTTGAAGGGCCCCTATCTAATACGCGTTAAACGCTCACCTCCACTGTCCAAGCTCCTCTCTTTACTAAGTTTGAAAAGAACCTACTAGGGCTGCTTTTGAAAGACGTTCTGAGAATGGACCTATGTAAGTTCTGGACTAGTATATGTTCGTGTATATGTATATGTGTGTAAGTGTGTCTGTGTGTGTGTATACCCCTGGTCCTGTTGAGCCAGCAGCAGGCTGCAGGTCGCCTCCTCGGTGTGCATCCTGCCCGCCACCGCCTGGTACTGCTTAGAGTTCAGCTTGTCATCGATCACACCCTGCAGCTCGAAGTCGCTGTACATTTTCTGAAAAACATATATTGTTTTAATGTAATAGTCTTGTAGAGTGAAATGATATTGCAGAATCAGTATCTAACTTATTATGTTTACATGAAAGAGACAAAAATCTCTCTTCGTCTCGCTCTTACGTATCTATGTCCAGACATTGTGTTCCAAAGATTCTTCTAATACAAAGAAGTTAGTTTCGTTTTCATGGTGGTAGGGAGTCTTTGGTGTATTAGTTATACTAAATGTTACGATGACTCTTAGTGTACTATTAGTATTACCTTGAGCACGATGGAGAGGCAGGCGACCTGTTGTGGATGTAACGCGGGCCGCTCTCCCAACCACGTGGAGATGGCGCCGATCTGGACCGAGTACCACTGCTCGAACAACTGCAGGATCCACAGCTCGTCCGTCACCTGGATATAGGGAACGAGAGAGAGTGTAAAGAAATGTTGGAGCATTATATATAGAGAGACTCCGATATATTAAGACTCACGGGAAGATTCAGAAAGATAAAAAACAATAATTGAATGGAACGGTAATTAATGAGACTGAGAGAGACGATTAGTTAGACAAAGAGTAAAGTTAACATTATACCTATTATTTGAGTAGACAAATTAACATCTTTATATATAAAATTTTTATATGAGTGTGTATGTCACTGAACTTCTCTCAAACGACTGGACCGATTTTGATGAATTTTTTTGTATGTGTTCAAGGGGATCTGGGAATGGTTTAGATTCACAATTTTGACCACTGGAAAATGTTTTTTTAATTTATAAGTAGTTGTTGATACAAACGTTTTCTTTTGACATTAGATTTGACAACTAACAAATATGTCAATCATTCTGTCGCACTTCAAAACACGGAGATTTATGGCTTTCATAGGTAAACACCAAAAATATAAATAAAAAACGTAACAGATATTTCTTGAGTATAGGGCGATACGAAGTTCGCCGGGTCTTCTAGTTTATATATAAAATACCTTCGATCTGATTTGGTCCATGGAGTTCCTCATAAAGTTCACGTATCCCTGGCCGATGTCCTTCCCTGAACCGGAGACATTCGCGATCGTCAGGATCGACCCTATCAAACTGTAATATTCCAAGTATATTTTTACTATCATCGAATGAATTAATAGAAATTTACTGAAAGATAGATTAGAGTTCCTAGAAGAAGAGATCAGTATCATTAGTTCATTAGTAAAGGAGAGGTTAGAAGGAGTTAAATATAATCAAAGATCATACTTCCTGAGACACCTGTAAATAAAAGTTACATGATGTTAATCGTTCGGTCGAGTGACATATCAGCAATCCGTAGAAGCTCGTGTGAGTGTGGATGTTTGTCTCACAGTATGGCGTGGTCTTCGGCGGGGCGACGCACGTTGACTCACCTGCCCTCGTCGAAGCGCGCGATCTTGGCCAGCGTGGCGTCCAACACGGCCGACAGCCTCGTGGTCATGCCCGTGGACATCGCGTGCAGGCAGGCCTCGATCTGAGCATCCATTTTAGCATGGTACTGGTACTGTGAGAGATGCTAGGAGTTAACACTTAAAGCGAAGCCGGCCACACTCTATAACGTATTAGAGCCCGACCGTCCGTGCTCCGCCATGCTTAACTTGCAGATTTGTGCAAAAAAACTTGCATAGCTAATGAGATTCATGCATAGAGGCGCTGAAATAAAATACTACAATGGTGACGTCACAAATTCTGCAAATCATGCATGGCAGAACCACAAGATGTGTCACGGGCTTGTATCACACACACCCGCTGTCTGCGTCACACTGACTGACTGACTGTTCATAGATCAGTGTGTCGCAGACAGCGGGTGTGTGTGTGATGAGTCAGAGCCACCGACATGGACACTTGTGGATCCGTCACCTCGAGCTGATCATAAGAAATGTTTGTGCGCATTCATTACTTACAGGTTGCGTGCGCGGCCATGCCATGCTCGGACAAACACGCTAACACTATACAGGATGTTAGAAAAAGTGTCATCGGTCAACACGACACCCGACTAGAAGTGACTCGTTATTATTATTGCAAAATGTTTGCGCTAAAACTAAAACTATTTCGCAGAATCATTCACAAAATTAATGATGATGATATGGAAAAAAGCCGTCAAAGTCATAGTGTTAAAATTTTAGTAATGTACAACTATCTTTTGTTTCTAAATAGTAGAAAAACTATGAAAGCTTCTAGTCAGGTGTGTAATGATGAATGATTTGTTGCATTCTCATAGAGCATGTTAATGAGCGCTGTATAATGACGAGCTCGCATGTCAGTAGCTCTTCGCTTGACATCCAGTGATGCGGATCATTCGTTAATAGAGTCGGAACATCACAGAAATACTAGTTTTGTTTCTGACTTTTCATAATTATAGAAAAATTTACAGTTGCCGAAACAAATGTAGTATTTGAGTTTGTAGATGTTTCAACCCTTTTTACCGCCATAATATAGATGCCAATTGTATATTATTATTAATTTAAAATATTATCTTCAAAAAAAATTTCTTTGTATGTATGTATGCAGCGGGTGAGAATATTTGAATGCGTTCATTAAACCATATAAAGTCAAACATTATACGATTTAAAATTATGAATAAAAAATATTTAAAAATCTATCCAAGGTGCTGCATGTCATAATTTCTGTCACTAGATGTCGCGGTAAGTTTGTTATATTAGTGGTAGGTATATTAGTGTTGTACGTACGATGTCAACTCCTTCCACGGCGCACAACTTGAGCGCCTGGTTCTTAGCGTCGAGGGCCACGTTCACCATGGCGCAAATCTCTGCCGGCAGGATGTAGTCCGTAGACATGAACGTCACACTCTTCTTCAGCCACGCCTGGAATGTGGAGAAGGAGAAAAAATTAACACGACATGGTGATATGGTTGTTTGTATTAAACTATGTCGTCATCATCATCATCAGTTATCAGAGCCCACTGCTGAGCAAGGCCTCTTTCTCACATGGAAAAGGTTTGAGAATTGACCACGCTCGCTCAAGACGGGTTAGTGATTTCAAACTTATAATTGTGAAAATATAAGTCCAGGTTTCCACACGATGTTTACCTTCTTCGTTGTTTGAATTAAACTATGTAGTGTATTTTTTGTTACAGGAAGGTTTTAAATTAAGATAGTTGACGATTCATTAAAAAATATTATACCATGATTATTGTGTTGTTTCATATGTATACTCGTATATACGTCAAAAACTATTTTTTGTATTGTTTAATTCTTGGATATAAAATTTCAATTATATTTGCTAGTTAAGACATCCTTCGAACGAATTCAAATTGAAGCTAAAATTTTGGATTTTTAGTGTGACATACAACAATATTATAGTTCCAATAAGGATGAGAATAATGAGAAAAGTGTAACCTGGAAAGAAGCTTCAGTTCTTTGTATGCATGTCTCCATCATGTCGCTGGCCATCAGCTTCAATCTCTGTTCCAGGTGAGATCTGAACTCCGGCTCCGGCCAGTGTAGGTCTCTGATGAAGGATTGTAACGCGTCTAACTTCCAGAACAAATCTTCGCTTGTCGAGCAGCCATTACTGTAAAAAATAACAACATAATCAGTAATGTAAGTAAGTATGTATGTATTTATTGATATATGTGCGTATGCATATTATTGAATATTTATTACTATTATTTATTTTTGTATGTGTTGAGATTGTATTTATTTTAAGAATATTTAAAATTGCACGACCCTATACTGTCTTTCAAACACAATCCTCTAACCCAAGGTAGTCTGGAAAAAATGGCTAACTAGGCATAAGGCCACCTTTTGTTTCACCATTACTTTTTTAGGTACTTTTTTAGATAATTAATAATAGATAAGATACCCTTTTATCTCCCAGCGTTCCTTTTCGAATCCTTTGTGTAATGATTGAGCGATCGATGACTCCATGAGGTCTACGTAGCGTACCACCAGCGGTGCGAACGTGTCACGTAAATGTTCATGGAAACGACCGTTACGTAAGTTCTCTGTGAATGATAAAATCGTCGATTACATATTTATATAATGATATCTAAGATTTTCGACAGTATTCATTTAAATGAAACTAAAATTTTTCGGATATCCTAAGTTACTTTGTTTTTGATAAAAACTACATACTCCTACGTTTCAGTTACGTCGTATCCAAAAAAACATTAGTTTCATTTAAATACATATTTATATCTATTAATAGAAAATTTTGGTCTACGAAATCATACCATCGGTCCTCAGATAGTCATTCAAGATCTGGAACAGTGGGAATGAGTCCCATGTGTCCGGAGGCTGTTCGGACAGCACCCGGTCCATGTCCACAGCGAACAGACCCCAGAATATCTCCGCGTGGTCCACAAGCAGCTCGGAAAACCAAGCGAACGCCTGGATCGATAGATTAATATTGATAATAGTATTTAAAAACTATATCAGGGAATATGGTAAGCTAAAAGAATATTGGGTTCAACAAACTTTATTATTAGGGTATATAACAAATGAAGTATGTCTTCAAAGAACAGTGATATTGATTTTGAAGCGCTATATATCAGGATATATTTTAACTATGATTTACACAACTATCTACTTACAGCTTGAAAGGAAAGAGCTCGTGTTACTAAAAATAAACAAGCATGTGCGAATAGAGAATGTAAAGTTTTTCTCATAGAAGCTAAAAAAAACACATACTAAACTAAAAAGCATATAATAAAGAGCAAAATCTAATATAAATTGTTATAATGTGGAAATGGTTTGTAAGTGAATGTAACGTTTATACTTTATGTAATCCGATTCTCGATAGAGAACTGTTACTGTTATGTGTATGTAAAGTTATGTGTTGAGGTTGAGGCTTGTTCTAGCAGCGAGTTATGTCTTTATCTATATATGGGACGCATCTTATATACTGCGTTTTAATGTAACTATCTAATTAATTTACTGTCAACAATATTTATAATAATAATTAATACTTATCTTTCGTTGAATCTGTTATATTAAAATATATTTTTCTCGTGGTATAATAAACAAAAGATAGACATTAATTATAAGAAGTATAGAGATATAATCTGCAAGTGTCCTAGACAAAGCACTAAATCTTCTGCATGTAATTTGTTCCATGCTACTCGTACTGTATATCTATCGAGTCTAAGCCGGTGTGTGAATGTATTTGATCAGATCGAAGTGAATGATTATAACCGAGTGAACGAATTGAACGTGATTCGATCAGCCGTACAATGAACTGAGTAGTTACATTTTGTTGACCGCTAGAGTCCGGTTTTGTGTTATAAACCTGCGGAGAAAGAACGAAGATAGAAGAGGGAAGATACAAGGAATATAAACAGATTTATTGACAGCACTCATACAGCGTCTTTAAGTGAAAAAAAATTATCTTCATAGCACTTATATAGTTGATTAAAGTTTCACTTAAAGGCAGCATATATATGCTTTCATATAAAAGAAAATACCATTCTTTGTTTTGTTCTCGAAGGAACAATTGTCTCAGCTTTAAAGTAATCAAAACATAATTCCAATCGTTCGTAGCTGTAGTCTATCGCATGTAACACTACGAAGAATAAATCATAATTTATATCAGTATTTGCGAATAAAATAAATAATTTAATAACCGATAATTTTGTATATTATGCAGAGACAAAATAATTTTGTCCAATCTATAAATTTTAAATCCTGAATTGTTCTAAAATTATTGTAGATCATAGTTTATGTTTGTCTCTGCAACATATGCCGCTTCATTCCCCACACTAATAGCGATAGGAGAACAGGGTGCTAGTTCAACAAACATTGACAAGTGATAAAACTTTTTAAGGTATTCACATATATATGAACTTACAAGCTTCGAGTTAATTTTGTTTTTACTTAAAAAGTTTTACTATAAGAGACCACGACAGTTAACACACAATATAAACAACAAACCAATATGATGTGAGCCATTACATTGGTTTGTTTTCAGTTGTTTAACTAACCGCTGTTGAGGGTCTATAACTTTGGTTATTAATCATTAATTAAACAACTGTTTCATGGTGTAACCAGTGTATGTTGACCCACCTCCGCGTAGTGTTCTTCGTTCTGTTGTAGCAGGTCCACACACAGCTCCGCCAGATGTATCAAGTCTTCCAACTTCTTGGCCGGAGTCACCATCGTCTCTCCACGAAGATCCTCTGAATTATTAATTAACAGTTCATTATAAATACAATATTTAACTCTGGTCTAGTCATTCTTAGACATTAGTTCGTTTTTGTTAAGTTATTTTACAAGTTACAAGAAACTGCTCCATTATAACGTATGTATTAGGCCCACTAGTGGTAATTCCTAAGCGTACCTTCAATATTAGCTTGCTGACTGAGCTGAGTGTAATTAAGTAACGCAGCGTTCTCTAAGCTGGTCTGTATCATGCTGCGGACTTCCTCAGGAGCGACCGGAGTCACCACGTCCTTCATCAGAACACGTTCTAGGAGAGACAGAGTGGCCTGGAATTATATGTAGTTGGCTCTTAATATTACTGAGTAGACGCAAAATGATGATATATTGCTTTATGTGGAAACTTGATTGATTTATGTTTTTTTGTTGTTTTTATTTTTATATTACAGTGTTTCTAAATTGTTTGTTTCCCAAATAAAATAAAATAAAATAAAAATTGTATCATTGTGGACTAACAATGTAGAAAATGTTATGTTGAAGAAGGCGTATTACTTACGCCTATCAAACGATGTATATTGTATGGAGTGAGCCTGTTTAAATCTCTGAAACATGGTAATGATCTGTTAGTGATGACTATATTTATCACCCGACTTCTCTCACCTTGAGCGCTCCTTCAGGTCTGCCGAAGGGGAAGGCGTATCTGAAGTTCGTTATCTGGTACTGTAGTAAAGTCTTGAGCCTCTCCTTGATCTCAGCGAACTTCTCCTTCTCCTGGACCGTGATGCTGCCCACGCCGTCAGGCCTGCCAGGCAACGCCGTACTGTGAAAGGGTCGCTTACACTAGCAGGGTTCATGTGAAGGCCGCTATATCACTCATTATAATTCGCTCCTGATATTTATGTGTTTAGATTTGTTCATATTAATTCTTGAAGGAGGTGTGATACGGCGACCTCCACAAGCCAACAGACAGAGTTAGTAGGATGCACAGACAGTTAGGAAGCACATTTACATAGCAAGGGTGTTTTGTATTTACAGAATTAGTGCAAAGAACAGAAAGAACGGTTAATAGTAGGGAAGTGCGTTATGGATTTACTGGAATTTATCTAACAATAAGAGCATCGTTTCTAAAACTTTCTAAGCATCTGAAGCCTTTGAGTTTTAATTTTTGTAGCATTTTCTTCATAATTGCAATTGACTTCAAAAAACTCAATCTAGATATAAAATTATACTGAATTAAAATGTATTTTGATCTAAACAATGATCTAATCTTTATCTAGATTTAGAAAACGATGCACAGTTATCAAGGCTAATGAATATAACAATTTTTACATTACAGAAATTAGTATATATGTACAAAAGCTAACCTGTTCCCATGTACGTGGCTCGCGCAGAATGCGAAGGAGTAATGCATGAGTGTAGGGTCCACGGTCTGTTGGGCGCTCTCAGCGACATCTAGGAGGTCGGACAAGTAACAGAGGTGACGGTAACAACCACGCACACCGTAACGAGCACAGTATTCATCCAACACGAACACTTGTCCCGGTGAAAACCAGCCCTGGAGATAATTTCAACGTTACTTAATAGCTAGTTAGTCCTTGAATTATTGTTTACTGCTATAGTATAGTATATAACAATATAAAGTATAAACAATTCGTGACGTTATGATAAACGGAGATATGAAATTGAGAAATTAGTGCAGGTTTTATGAGATAATTTGTAATTGCTTAGAACTTGAATCTTGGTTACAAAACGTATAATATTTTTTTAGTTATTAAATCAATCATCATGCAGTCAATTATTTATACATATAGGAATTCATTACAATTTACAGCTGGGTTTTTAAATTAGATATATTTTGTCATAGTTTCGTTTATATCAGTAAAACCTTACTCATATCCTGAACGTATTGTATCTTACCAAAGAACAGTACGGATCCTGTAGACGATACTTGAGTGTGAGTGATTGTAGCGTGGTGAAGAGTTGGTGATGATCGAACTGGCACGGGTCCGCCTGGATGTAGTCCTCCATACCGTGTTTACGAGCTTTGTCAGCATCTATACATGAGATATATGTATGAAAAGTCTTTGAATATAGATAATAGCAAAAAGTACGCTTTTATGAAGATCTATACATGAGTAAAAAAGTCTTTGCATATCGATAATAGCAACAAGTACGCGTTAATGGAAGCAATTTGTATAAATTTATGGCATTTGTATAATTTAACTTGATGCCAAATAATTAAGGGGATAAAAAAACCGTATTTAAGAATTAAAACATTCTGTTCTTTACAAATTTTTCAAATATTATAAGCCTACATACTGTATTTCCTTAGATTATCTCAAACTGACGTACCACCCAAAATTTTAATATGTGAGTCGGATGTAGTGGGAGGCGTGGGCTTGTGACTCTGTCCCGTCGCTCTGTACAGGGCCATGACCCACAAGTGACACTCGTTCTCATCTCCTACACCCATGAGCACTGACTCGCCATCACGAACAGCATTCATGAAATACTTCGCGCCTTCCAACTCTATGGAAAATGTTCAAAAATTACCATAAATAATAAGGATGATAAAATGTAGAGGATTTTAGTTGAAATTCTCACCTTGACCGACCATCAGTTGAGCTGTCAATGAAAATTATTATTAATAATATAGAATCAATAGCTTGAAATAACTAATATGAAAAATTACATACCACTGGCCAGTTCAATATAGTCTACAGTGAACCCATCGAGTTGCATCATCTCCGCGGGCTCGGACTTTTTATCTTTATACGAACAAAGTGCGAAGGTGTACTGGCTCACTTGAACAAGCACCATGTATCGACGCTTCCACTTCCTCCAGACAGCCTTACCGATAACGTGGAGGTATCTGGAATGAAAGAATTACTTTATATTAGAAACAATTTCATTAAGTTAAAATTTCCATGGCTAAAAGACGATGACGGATTTTGATCACAAACTTATTTTGTATGTGAGTCATATGACTTGGATTATCTTTTATATCAACACTATCTTTTATGAACTATTTATATTTATACTAACTATTATAGTTGAATATCAGTGGACATTACTTTTAACTTACCCACAATGCTTCATATTCAACGGCTTATCCATTCGACAAGCGATTTTTATTCTCAAATCCTGGTCCGGTAAGTTCTTGGGCACGGTCATGCGATGCCATTCTGGAGCCTACAGTACATATTATTTATGTCAAAATATATCTTCTATCTGTAATTAAAGTTCCAAATACTGATGACCCCTACCTTGCTAGACAACGGAGTAGGTCGTAATACAACTTTTCCTAATTCCTTATCTTCCAGAGACAGTACTCCAGGGTTTTCTGTGTAAAGCTTCACCTTCACCGCTGGTAATGGCTGAGTCGTGCTAAAGTCACCCTGGGTGTCCCACCTGATAGACGTATTAAATTAGCTCTAAACTCTTAAACATAGCATATATCAGTATCTCTGAACTCTTCGTAAAGAAATCTTTGTTTTTTAAATATCATTATATATTATAATCGACACTTGACGTCAATAAATAAACATTAAATACAAACATTGGCTTCGAGGCTTCAGCCTGATCGGTTTGTAACTTCTCTCCTCCTTCCACTTCCATCGTGCAGTAAACTATTCTGTTAGGTGCCAGCGACTTGAGACCTTTAACTTCCATAACCACTACCTATAATGAAGTTAGTTTTATGGACCAAGAACTTTTGGTCACATGGTTAGGGACATCAACATTTATTTCTTAGTTATGTAGTTTCTGTTGTGTAATATGAACGTTACCTCTATCTGAAACGTAAGTACTACATCCATTTTGGTGAGCTGAGTGTCCACGTCGCCGCTGTCTCCCTCGCCGGTCAGTTTGTTCGCTAGAGATCCTTGCGATCTGAAACATAGCTGCTTACTCAACCTTGGACTCGGGTCTGGCCCAGCATTCGATCTATACAAATTCCACCACCAATCAAACCACGATTACCCCAAATATTTTGTTATAATTTTATCATCTCAATATTATTCATTGTAATTCAAGTGATAGGATAAAAAACGTTTTATATTGATTGTATTGAATTAAATGTGAAATATAATTTTCATAAATAAATGGGTGTAAGGAGAACATTCACAGGGCGAAGGTGGAACATGGAACCATCACCGATACCAAGAATGATTAAGCATAGCAATAGAAAATGTTAAATAGGTCTGGCAGGTCTACACGTAGTATAACTAAGGCGTACGGGCGGGTGGTATGTATAGAATGGGAAGTGTTAGGCGAAGCGCTTAAAAGCATTACTTAAGCGTTTATGGTCCTTTTTATGATTCTATAGAATCCGGTATTTCGTGTGTTTTATGTACAAGTTATAAGAGTGAGTATAGGAGAATATAAAGCCGTGATGTTATATAGAAAGCCTAGAAAAATTTTCAAACTGTTACTAAAGTTACTCCTCTAATTCACGCTATAAATACTCTAGATTCGAAAGCTGTTCTGTATAAGTTCTGGCAAATGTAAACGCACTGGCTGTTACAGTTATGTAAACTATGAAAATCCTGAAAGCATTCCGTTTTTATTGTAAAGCGTTTTTCATAAGAAGATTTAAATACCTCACCGAGTTCACCTCATGCTACTATCATTTGTAATAAATAACCCAAAAAACTGATGAAGAAACAAGGAGAGTACGCTCAAGATTATTTTATTCTAATTGATAATTTTAATTCCGATTAAAGTCAACGGGATCTCATAACTATCGTGGGAATTGTAATTTAGTTCCTTATCGTTCAATAGTATTGTATCTTCATTAGTTGCTCAATCTATGTCTACAGTCTAGTCAGTCTATTCTACGGTGTCTATGACATCAAGTCAACATCGTTGGTGTCAGGCAGGTGTGGGTCGTACACAAGACACGTGCTGAATGCTGATAGTCATTTAAAGGTATCATTACTTGTACTTCCTGCGTACCGTCCGTTGTGCCAGGGACAGAAAACCAAGAAAGAAATGAACAAGAAGAAGTGGCAAGAAACATAGACAGATAGGTGTGACCAGATACATCTCGTAGAGAATTAAAAGATATTTATATTCAGGTATAAGTTAATAATCTATATATAGATGATATGATCACATTAGAAGGGTTTATAACATTAACATATAACATTGATACTTTATGTTGTAATTAATTAATTATATTTATTATAGGACTGTTAACATTTAAAATTAAGCTTCATCACATAAATAGATACGAACAGACATTTTTACAACATTATAACTGAGTTATTAAAACAATTCATATCCTGACCTGTGATTATACCGCTTGATCTTATGAAGACCGTATTTGGAATCTGCGCCGCCCTTGGACACGGGCAGCGACTCTAAGTTGGCCATCAACAGATTGATGGATGACTTGAGCTCTTCAATGTATAAAGACTCCATTTCTTTCAGCACGAACTTCGGCATCAACTTGCGGTTCTAAATATATATTGAAATTAATTATTGAATTAATTGAATAGTGGAGAAAATATTCCCTGTCACGTACCTTTTCCATCTCATTGACTTTCTGCATCCTTCCATCCAATTCTCTTCTGATAGCAGCAGCCTGCTCGTCCGCGGAGTCCAACTATAATAAAACAATATTCACAACTAACTTTAAAGGAAATACGATCGATGTTAAACTTTTTTCAATGTTGGAAGTTTGCAGAGTTGTAAAAGTAATAAAACTCAAGTTAAAAACTCAAGTGTTTTCAGTTCAAAAGTTGTGTAACGTACAAGTTTAAATTTGTTTGTATTGTTAAGGGAGGAATCTTATTGGGAGTAAAATTTTATTTATATTTTAGTAACTTGTATGTGTCTTCCAGAGAGAAGAGGGCATTAGGTACACTCATAGATTTGAATGTGACAAAATATGGTTGAGAGTTTTCTTGCATGAAATATTTCTTAAAATTATTTCTCTAATGAAAAGGACGACTACTTTTCTGTGAATATAATTTTATAATTATTTACGAAAATGTGTGTTTTGTGGATCTTAAACAATGATTAAATAATTGAAAGAAAATATAGGAGCTCTTATTTAATGAATTGGAAGAAAACACATTAAATTTATCACATTTAATATATTTCTGACAAAAACTTGGGTTCCATTACGTGAATAATGCTCTGTCAACAAACGATATTTATTGGAGAGAAATTTCCGAGGAATGATCTAACATATCATTTGAAGGAAAAACTATCTGTATTAATATTAAATGAAGTTTATTAAGCGTGGGTTTCTTCAGGATAATGTATTGATTGATTTGTATCATAAACCATAAGTATAAATAGTCTTATTTATAATAGAAAAGTTTTTATGTCAAATGTTGAACTATGCACGTGGAAATACACTTTATAAAGAAAGATATGGCTTAAGACAGTGCTAGGAAACAGGAAAAATGTATTCAAAACAAACCTGCCTTGAAGCATTATGAAATTAAAAGTCTGTTATATAATGTTGGAATACTTCAGTTAATTATGCGAGGAAAGCTAATATTAATTTTTATGGTTGCTTTGTAAGAACAAATCAAAGAGAAGTTACCGCAATGAGAATTTCAAGGAAACGACAGAAGTTTTATATAATTATAATTACACAATTTATGAAGAGAACAAACGATGAATTTTATTTTAAATATACATAAAATATAAATTAATTTTTATCTGGAAATGTTTTTAAATAATAAGGTAGGATGTATTACGAAGAAAAAAATGTATATTCAATTTACTTTTTACGAGTTTGCATTGGACAACACACGGAAAGTGAATATATTTCAGCTGTATATGTATTTGTAAACCTTTTACCTGAACTGTTAAGGTTTTGTCTAAGCTACAGGTTAAAGAGAATATGTACAAAATTCTGGTGATTACTGTCGTATTGTATGGATTAAAATGTTGGACTACAAAAGTGGTGTTAGAATGCAAATTGCATTATACAGGGATGCGAAGATTAAGATGGATGTGTGGAGTGACATGAATTGATAGAATTAGAAAGGAATATGTAAGCGGAAGATTCTAACTACCATGGAGAAAGTTTGTATGGTATGGTCATGACTCATGTTATATTGAGGAATGAGTCGTGTTGCAAAAAGAACTACGAGCATAGATGGAATGGTCATGTAACATGACGTCATAAAAAGACGGATAATGGGAATGAAATAGAAAGGAAATCGTAATGTGCCGATCACACCTAGCGTGGGGTACGGATCTGAAGATGACGTATATTTGTAAGCTTGCTTAAATATTTTTCCTGACTGTACAAGGTGGGTAAACCGACTTTGACAAATTATTTATTTAATTTGTCTTTTGGGCAAAAGAAGTGGTTTATATAAAAATAATATAACGTTAATTTCTTTTCCTTTGGTACTTTTGACCAAAAAGGATTTAAAAAAATCAAATACAAGAAACTTAACATGTTTTAAAGTTATATTGGATTGATGAAAATGAAACTAAAAAGTCCCAAAGAAACTAATATTGCGAAGATTTAACACCTACTAGGTGAACTAGTAATATATTTGTAAATTTTCTGTATGTACAAAATGTACAATATACAATTTAATTACTTATGATTACTGATTATTAACTACGATTGAGAACATCTATTTAAATATAGAATGATAAGAAGATTAATAGATAGAAAACAATATAAAAGACGTCAAAACTTCTTATATTAAGAGGTGATACTTGCCAGTAGAGCGTTGAACAGCAGCTGGTGTTCAAACTTCTTGACTCCTAGTATCTGCTGGAACATGTCGTACAGCTGTTCCTTGCTCAGTATACACTCAGCGTTCAGGCTCTGTTGCTGAGCGCGGGAGGGCCTCTTGGAGTCATCGTCTCCTGGGATACCTATGAGTAATGTATCATATTTTTCTTTACATTACACGTATTGTATGTTGTAATGTGTAAGTGATGTGCTTATTTTTTGAGAGATGTTTAAAGTAATATATTGAAAAATTTGTTTCAGATAACATAATTAAAGCGGATTTGATGTTGGCTTATGTTAGTTTTAGGTAATTTCTTCAAAGTTTGCTGTTATTACGATTTCTAAGCTGAATTCATATCCAAAAGATTTATTTCTATAATACTGTCAATGATAGTATAATCTACAAGCATCTTCGAAATTAAAATAAATATGAGTAGTAATTTAAACTTCATTAAATGTGTTTTTTAAACAAATAAAAAAATGTATGTGTTCAATTCATATTAACTATTACTATTTGAAGTCTTCGAAATTATAACCGATCTTAAATAATGTTTATTAATATAACAACATCGAATTAAGCTGAACAAATATAGATAAAGCTCTATTGTCTACAAGTACGACTAGATGACAAACAAGCAATATAACAAGACAGAAGCAGAGATGTTTAAAGTTAAACCATTGTTTTGTTTATCAGATGTACCTGTTATTCCTGGGAAGTGTGAGAGGGAGAGAAACACACATGAGAGATGAAACGCACACATTTGTTATATCATTCGATGGTAACTGGCGTTTGGTCAGCAAAAAATATACCACATATACATATATACACTTTGTAGTGTATGTATCTATACAGTAGATATAATACACTGTCTTACGTACCCCACTGGAGGGTCGGCATGCGCTCGGCAGTCTAATGACTAGCGCGGAGCAGAACGGTGACGTATTCCTGCGCTCTAGGCGGGGTAGTAGTGAGACAGTGTATTATAACTATTGTATAGATACATACACTACATACTTGATCATCAGCCTATCAGAGAAAACTGAATAAAGGCCTCTGCTCACATGGAGAAGATTTTAAACATACTTATACATAATATATTTTTAAACTGACCTCTGTGCTAAATTGAAACAAATATCTTTAAATTGTTTTGATTTAGCATACATTAATACTACAGTTTACATCGACACATTTAATGATTATGTTAAGTATTTAGTAATGGGTTTGAAAATATCCTGGGATTGCTAACATTGTCACATAATCACTAAATTAAGAACATATATTAAATGACATTGCAATATAGGAATTTTGATACTAAATAAGAATTATTCTTAATGGTTTTTTCATATATTTAAATTAATATATACATATATTTGTTGCATTGTCATTCTTATAGAGGGTAGAAACATAAATGCAAGTCAAGCAACATTTATAAATCGCTCTAGATATGGTTGATGGACACAAAACTTATTAATAAATTTATTTATATTTCCTTTTAGTTTATTTATTATAGGACTTGTTTTAATATATTACCCTAAATAAAAGGGCTAATTGATGAGCACACAGATGTTAACACACATTCAAATGCTTGTTGCATATAAGCATTAGATGCTTTGCACACTGCGTCATGCAAAACATTTCAATCTTACTAAGGTCTAAATTATCAAGAACTAAAAAGAAGAAAAATAATATGTCTTGTTTCAAACAATTGTCTTTTTGGACATTCTATTTTTATTCATTATTGTTATCAAAATATGTCTATGTTTTCTTTCTTTTTGTTCTTACATTGGGTATGTGTATTCAGTGGTAGTATAAGCCTCACCTGTTCCCTTCATAATGCAATCAAGTTTAGCAAGCCACGTTGTTAACACTGTTTCCTTGCTAAGTCCGTCTATTTCTGGTAAAGACCTGGAATTAATCTTACACCTTAAATTTATTAGTTCGAATTGACTTTCGCGAGTCTTATTCATTTAAATGAAACTAATATTTTTCGGATATATCGCCACGAATTCACATCTCGTTGGCCCGTGATCACGGTTGCTGAAAAGTAACCGAAACGTTTGGAGTATGTAATTTTTTACAAAACTAAGGCAAGCGTAATTAAAAAATATTAGTTTCATTTAAGTTTTGTTTGATATGTACAATGTTAATATCCCTGAAAGGAAGGAAAGTCAGGTATCGATTAAGTTAAGTGAGTTTTGAAAGACTCTATGTACTATATATTCAAACCTGACTCGTTTTTCTATATTATTTCTGAAAACTTCTCGAAAGTCGTGATGCGAACAAGCCCCAGACTTGACCATCTGTTCTACCCTTTCAGATTTGAGGAACACGTCGTAGTATGATTGAACGGCGTTTTGAAACGCTTCGTCAGCGAGAATCTGAGTTTCTCCTTTGAGGAAGGCCTGTAAATGGATATGTTTAGAGAAAATTCATTCAAAATTCAAAAAGTACCTTTAAGCTATGTTTCCCTGACCTGGAATCTGGCTTGTATAGTCTCTAGCTGATGCGGAGTAAGCTTAGTGTGTCGCCGCGTCATGTCGGTCGGTTGTTTAGCGTTGAAGGGATGAGCCACACATCGGGACACAAACACGTATAGTTGTAAACGACGTTTCTTGTCCTCTTCTAGTTTTTCTATTTTCTCCTTTGAAAGAAAATGTACAGCTTAAAGGATGATTCTTATATAAATACTCCCATTAACCTATCTTAACATAGTTAAAATTTTTGATTTTAGTGAAAATAATATTATAATTTTTTTAAAAAGGCATTATTTAGCTGTTCTATTCTATGTGAGGTTTCGTTGTCTCATATTTTTTATAAATCATCAATTACACCTTCATTCCTTTTGCTGGTAAATGGAAATTAAGTCAAAGTTGGTTGACACCACTAATAACTTTTTTACTCTACAGTTAAGGATATCCAAATTTTGTGAGGAATGAAATAAATAAAAGAAAACGAAATAATATTAACGAAAATAAATCAAATCATGTAATGTGCTCATGAAAATCATTTCGTCCACAAGTGAGGAAACACAAAAAGCAAAACATGTAGACCCGCCATGTATCTTGTTATCCGATTATGAAAAAGGGATGCAATAATAAAAGTGTGCGATCCCTAACCACGCTCTACAATTGTCTTCTATAAAATACTGATGGCTTTTCAACTTTAGGTTGGGCTCAATCCTAACTTAATGAGTTTTACCAAAATCATTGTCTTTAATATACCTTTTTCTAGCATACAAGAGAAGAGACTATGTGATATATATCTAGTTTTCATACCTGAGGGTCTTGATCCTTGTCAGAGTGACTAGTTCCCGAGGGACTGGGTGAGGGTGCCGGCGCCTCCCCCGAGCTGGCGCTCCCCGTCGAGGTCCTGCGCAAGAACGATCTAAACGATCTATAGTATTAAGTCGTCAATGTAAGTGGTTCTCGTTCACACAAACTGACATCTCGCTATTGGCAAAAATATACACTTTATAATTAACTTTATAGCAAGTGCGGTCAGTGTATGTAAACTTATGGCATGTAGTGATACTACAATCTACTTTGATTTAGCAAATATTTTAATATATATAGACTGGATAAGCAAAAGTTTTTAATTGCGTTACTTCTAACTAAAACTACATAGTTTTGTCATTTCTACTATAGAATATCTAAAATGTTTCATGAAACGAAATGGACATGAAACTATTTATGTACTTAAAATTTTATCTAAGAACCTTGAAATCTATTTATTAGCAAATCATCTAGTATTACAGAGTTCATTTTTTATTGGTTTTTTTAAAATATTTTTGAAAAAAGATTCAAGGTCATACTATTTAGAATACTTACGCATGTTGTGGCGGTGCGAGCGCCGCTTGCTCCCTTTGTCTAGTGGCGGGGTGTAGCGGCGCGGCGAGGGGGGCGGTTGTGAGGGGACTAGCTCCTGAACATATAATGATGAAACTTTGAAGATAACATCACACCAAACTCAGGAGTCAGGACTATTATTAATTTCTTAATGTTTCAAAACAAACTCTTATTAATGTGAGGGTGTGAGAAATAAGCAAGTGATTAAATAACCTCTAATGGAGTCATCACAAAAAATCTCAGACGATCAAGGATATGTCATGTATTATAAATAAATACTAAAGTTTAGGGTTCAAGGACCCTCGAAAATAGCGAGAGAATTCAACGGTATTTTGTATAAAAGGGTTTTAATACGGTAGACCTTTTAAGGTGATGCTAATGAAAAATAAAAAGGTCGTTGAAAGAATTATTCTATATTCATCTTTTGATACAAACAAACTTTTTATGATTAACAGGGATGTACAACTAAATTTGTATATGTTTCCAATATGATAAGGATATAGTTAAATAAAAAAAGGACTTGAAGGCGTATAACTAAGGCTAAGGTTAAAAATTCATCATATTTTGTACTAGTCATATAATTTTCTATACTAATTGATATTTTCTGTACCTGGTAGGCCAGCAGTGGACCCGCGCGGTAATTCTGGTTTCCCTCGGACTGATGGCCGTCCTCCTGCTAATGCACCAGGTGGTACTAAGAGAAAAAATAATCGTCTTATTATATTTAACACTTATACAATGTTACGAAGATTATATTTAAATGATTTTTTGAAGAAAGACATTCAATACTTTAAGTCTTACACCCAGTTTCACCAATCAATGTTAAATAAGTAACATCTTGTTAATGCGTTTGATGCTCTGTTAGATGTATCGAGCGTCCCACCACGCACAAATGTCCGTTTAAATGTCTTAACAAGCCACTAATATTAATTCCTGCTCAGGAGCTCCGTCTAATGGCTAACATACTGTTAATGCATTGTCGAAACTCAATCGTCCAATCACAGCCCTGATTTCTTGTAACCATAGTAACGTCATCTGTTTTGTCAGTTTCAACTATTTCCTTGTACTTATTAATAAAGTAAATTAAAATTTCATTCCCTATGATGATTTTGCCTCCAGCTTTTCTATGACATTGCAAATTAAACTTTCTTTTTATCTCTTGTAATTTGAACACAATTTATGTCTATATTTATAACACAATAATATTATATAACACAATTTATTGACAACACGATTTTGACAAGTTACACCTAGTAAATTGAAAAGAAAGCTTTTTGTGTGCCAAATGTATGCAACCAACGATGTATAAAATTTGGTCGCATTAGCTTACAAGTGACGTATCGAGGAATATATACGATCAAAGTATAAAGTGGTGCATCGTGGCAAACGAGCCGTTTTAAACGCTATAATTTCCATTTGGTCGTCTTATAGTAAAAACTAATAATTTGGTAGTCGGTCATTTGACATGACGATTAATAATGCGTTGTTAATTTGTCATCGTGGGATTTATAATTTTGATGGCTTGTTAGAACATGCCTTGTTTAGATTTAATAAACATTGATTGGTGAAACTTTGTCGTAATCACTTTAACTATTCAACATTATTTATGAATGTTAAATTAATTTCTCTCAATTGATATCGATGTTATTATCGTCGTCAACTTCTATAACATTTCCAAAACAAATTTCCTCAATCAACGACTGAAAATCAAACTTTCAATTTATATTTCAAACTTGTTTGATGTTCATACATCCACGTGACGTGAAGTGATGTAGAAATAAATTAATTGAACTTTCGTTATGTACAAATACCTTTTAATTTATATTATACTAGAAGACCTGGCGAACTTCGTATCGCCCTATAATCAAGAAATATCTGTTATGTTTTTTTATTTATATTTTTGGAGTTTACCTATTAAAGCCATAAATCTCCGTGTTTTGAAGTGCGACAGAATGATTGACATATAAGTTAGTTGTCAAATCTAATAACAAAAAAACGTTTTATCAACAAGTACTAATAAATAAAAAATTAATTAAAAAAACATTGTCCAGCGGACAAAATTGTGAATCTAAACAATTCCCAGATCTCCTTGAACACACACAAAAAAATTCATTAAAATCGATCCAGTTGTTTGAGAGAAGTTCAGTGACATACACACTCACAGAAGAATTATATATATAAAGATATAAACAGTACTGGTATTATACAGGGTGACTGGTGAATTACTATCGATACTTGAGGACGTGATATTTGACGATCATATATGACAAAATAAAAATTAATATAACATAAATATTAATAAACTTCTAAGTAAAGTTAACCAAAAGTTATGTAATTAATTACGCATCGTGCGAACACCCTACAGATTAGGTATACACTGACACTCACACATACGCGTGTCGTGACGTGGTGTTGTATCAGCACGCCGCCGCACGCGTCCACACTTGAACACTTTGAACGTGTCAACACTTTACTTATTTATACGGAAATTTTGTCAAAAATTAAGTGCCTATTTTTTTTACATAATTCGAATGAGAATCATGTACCGAGTATTCTCCTAAAATATTGATAGTAATTCACCAGTCACCCTGTACATTTATAACCATGCTTATATAATCATGTGAAACCTCGATGTCATATACGAATTTACAAGAGATTCAATCTGGTTAATCTAAGCTTGGTTCAGATGAACTTTGGTCTTTTGCCAAATAACAAGTAGAATCTTTGATAAAAGATTACGTAACATGGGAACAATGTGTGACATATACCTTGTCTCTATGAAACTGTATGCACAAGGAATGTAATACTAATTTGTACTGGTTTTCATTGTATATTTTTGTTCATACCTGGTAACTTAGAAGGCTGTTTCTTGTGTTCGTCCTCACTGTCTTCTTCGGATGAGCTTGGATCGATCATCTTGTTACTTCTAGAATAAAAATAACACATATATTGATGTTTTAATTATATTTAAACAACTAGTTCTGAAGTCTCAAAAAACAGTAATAAACAGGACATTAATTATTGATCTACCTACTATAAAGATATCTTTTTTCAGGTTGGAAACAGATATATAAATATTCTAATGTGTTACAGAACGAGTCCTAAGAAAAACAAGTCGAGGAAAAACTGCCATGTCTTGAGAAAACTTGTAAGACATAAACCTTCTCATATGTAGAAAATTGGCCTGATGTGGGACTATAAATAGGATTATAGAGAGCCTTGATAAGAAAGAGAAAGTACACCAGAAAGAGACAAACATATCGTGTTTTGAATAAAAATATGAAGTTCATAACTATAGTATATTTTCTTATAATAGTTCTTCATCAAAAGGTGCAATAAAACTATAAAGTTTGAGACCAATTTTGATAATTTTAAAAGAATATAATTATAATTATACAAAATATTGTATTAAAGCATGGTAACAAAGAAACTCTGAGACACATCGATACTAAGTTAGTGGGAGTATATTCTAAAACGAATTGTGGTAATGTTTTGCAAAGATCTTAACTCCTAACGAAAAAAGTTTAATATAAATGTCTTTGTATGCGTGTGCGTACATGTGTGTCTACTTGCGCATGTGTGTGTGTGTGTGTGTGTGTGTGCGTGTGAGTGTTCGTGTATCTAATGCGTCATAGCTTTCGGACCCCTCGATTATTTCGATCGGATTCTTTCCTTTGAAAGTTACATTCCTTACAATGGTTTAAGGATTTTCTTTTTTAATAATTAATATTGATTTAGTAGTGTAAGATTATCAACACCTTTCCAAATTGACATAAGGTTTTGGAGAATTATTCCTAGAATAAACACTCCAAACTTGCCAGAATAAACTTAATTGACAATTCACGAGTAGGCTGGTTTTTTATACTTTAGTAGTTTCTATAAATATATATACATACTTTTGTTATGAAACATTTTATAGTTAAAGCCTTCCTTACGGTATACGTTATATATTTAAGTAATACCACATTTTAGTTCCAAATTGTAATATTGAAAATAACGAAATATAAAGATTTTAAGTTGTGAAAATACTTTGAAATGACTAGCAATCTACTCACAAAATGCCATCTGATTTTATATCGAGTCTGCAGAAGAAACAAATAGCTTTGAATATAAATAGCCATGTTAGATGAAGCTCTTGACCTTGCAACCAATACACTTAACCTGAATACTTTAACTCTGCCATCAAATTGATTGGCGTCTCCATAAAAGAAACGACTTGCTCTTGACTGAGAGCGGTTATTAATTTTGAAGCCATTCCTAACATTTAGGAATGAAATAAAACGATTTGTTATTTTGGTATTAGGAGTGGAAACGCTAATCCTCGTCACTTTTGGTGACGGATGGATGACGTTGATGAATTAAACATGATCTGGGAAATCTTTTTACATTAAAAATGCGATCTTTGATATTAAGTGCTTCCATATTAATATTAAGTATTAACTGGCGTATGTATAAAACTTATTATTCATTTTTCTTGACAGTGTTTCTAAAATAGATTATTTGTAGAATTCTGATTAACATAACGCTTACACATATGTTTATAGAATTATATTAAATTTAGTTTGGCATTCGTTTATTTTTAAGCAGTACTGATTCATTAATGGTTTTTTTCCTCTGTGTGCTAATTATCTCCAAACAGATTTGGTCCACCAGTAACATGAGCTTGTATGAAGAGCCACTTAACAACATTCTCCTCGTATGACCTTTCAATGGGCTGTAGGTTTTATTTTCGTATTTATTTTTAATTAAGTTGTAAAGCTGCTTGGAAGAGTTTGGTAATTACACAAAGAGAATTATCGTAGAGAAAAATTTAATTAAGTGATTATGTTCTTTCTATTTGTTAAATATCAGTTGATAATAAGATAACCAGAAATAGATAAAGATTTGGGCTCGCATAAGCTTAAAGAAGTAGTTTTAATGAAAGATACGTCATGTAGTAGCTCTATATTATTCTGGTATCTTAGAACTTGCCATCGCATTAAAGATTTAACTAAAAATATTCAAAGATATTTTGAAAATATACAGTTTTATAAATCCGTTTTGTCGACCATTTTGAACACATTTAAACGGAAAAAAACCCTCGGGAGAAAGGAGAAAAATCAAAGAGATTCTTGTACTTTAATATGAATGAAAGAAAGAGCAACTCGAGAAAACAGAATTGCTTCTTTTGACAGCTTCATGTTATATACAAAACATATATTTTATAAGGAATAATTATTTTCTCGTAACATCAAAGAGAATGAATACACTTTACAAATACATATATAATGTTTCTCATTTACTGATTTAGTACATACGTTTTAAAGGCTCAAAGATGCACGTATTAAAAATATTAGAAGATCACCTTTCAGGAAAATACCAATTTTAATCGAATGAATGAGTTCAGATAGATAATTCATCAATTGAGAAATTAATTAGTTTAGTTTGAGGCTTTCAGCGATGCAGAAACGTGCACCGTATATTCTGCCAAGGTCGTGTAGTATGGAGGAGATAGGAACAGATTGCCTTGTATATGGAATACAATTAAGTAGACTTGATTGAAGTAACAATGAGATTTGTTAGAGAAACTAAAATACTACTGAAAGGAAAACTCAAGATATATGTGAAAGATTTTACGCAAAAATGAACTTTATATTTACAAAGGTCACTAAATCAAAATGAAACAGTCAATATGTAAAGGACAAGGGTTGTTGAGCACGCATGAGGAAAACAAACAGAAAGGATACAGAATAATATGTTGAATAATTTCAGGAAATTTTCCGAAGTTGGAAAGAATGTTTGTTATTTTTATCTAAGTTCATCGAAGCGTGGCTTCAGATATCTACCTTCGATAAGCTCGGCTGGGTCCAGAAAACTGTTTGATGATATGTTTTTATTTTATTCACGACACAATAGTCACAAGAATGTATTATGTAGGTTTTAAATTCAATTTAAGTAAGAATAAATAAATGGCAAAATAAATAATTAACTGGTTATCGAATGAATTCTTTTTAATATGATTTATGGCTGAAATCATAAAAATCCCTAGCTTTAGTAATGACTTTTTATGAATGAGTACTCGCGAAAATCTTAGATCTCATTACTTTTTATAAAGTTAAGAAAAACGATTCTAAACTTCTTAAACACTTCATCTTTATAACTCAAGCGGGAATTCAGTACTTAAAAAATATGAGGGAATTATTTGACTAAGAAACTGAATTAGTTGTAGAGAAGTTTTAAAATAAATTATTTTTACTTTACTTTATTCCCAAGATTAAATACTAATTTTGAAAAACCTCCTAAAATATATTTAACGTTAATTGTGATAAATATTATGATAGTTACAAGAGCGGGAAGAATTTGCGCTTTTTTAAAACGATATTCATTTTCAGTGACTTAAGAATTAATGTAAACTGAATCTACCTATCTCTGAACAAAAAATAAATGAAAAATCCTATTATATTTTTTTAACATATTGTTGATTCTAAAAACAACTCATATCTTTAAAATACTTTACGTCGCTATTTAACTATGTATTAGTTTGTAACTTTGCCTTGTTTAATAATTGAAGTTAACAAATTTACCGGTTTTTTACACTATTTTTATCATTACATCTGTTATAAAGCTAGGTACATGTCGTGTACAACTTTACGTATTTTCAAAGAGTTACCTAATTGTTCACTTGTGGTAATAAATATGTTAATTTTATAACATTCTCATGTTTCATTGTTTGTATTTTGTTGTTACTATAAATGAGAGTACTTTAATGTTTTCGACAAGGTTAATTTCTTTTTCTATTGTTGCTTAAACTAATAGGCAAAGTTGCTATTGATTGTTTGGTAGTCTGTAAAATAATTCTCTTTATTTAATAAATACATACACAGTATATGCAGGTCAGATATTGTGTTTTTATTGTAGTATATGTTTGAGAGATCAAATATTGAGTCTTGCACTTACTTTTCTGTGTTCTAAGTTGTATTGTATTTTAAGTGACGATTGATATTTTAACGAGTGAAACACGATGAGTGTATTAGATTTTATATATTATATAATCGATTTTCTTTAGTAAAAACTTTCTTTCTTAGAGAGGGATGATTTATATTTTATTGTATTGAGTTTCCAATTGACTAATATTTATATCTTTCTAAATATAAACTTTGCACCTGTTTGTTATTCAAGCAGTTTACAAACTAGTTTATATTTTACCAAATGACACTCGACGTCTAATTAGAGGCTTTAGGACCTATTCACAACTTTAGTTTATGAAAAACATAACATTATTGTAAAGCTGTGATTTTTTGTATGGATATATTGAAGTGATAAATAAAACATAAATTTGGTTAAAAATAATACTTAATCCTCAAGAAAACATTTGTTGACAAAATTTTGGAGTATTTTATTGACATTCTTATTGATATAATAAATGTGAGTTTGTAAGAATATATGAAACAGGATTTTTGCTTTTTCACTCAAAAAGTGAAGAAATAAATCTACTATTTTAACACACACTGAAAGTCGCGTACACAAATTACTTATACATAAAGATATTTGTATAGTAAATAATGTATTACAAATGTCAGTATAGAATTTAATTCATTTGTAATTCAGACCACTCACTCGAGCGAACCATAGCTGGAAATATTCCAGTAAAATCGAAATACCATTGTACGGATTATTGTGCTGTGACACGCGTGTTCTGTGACTATTTTAATGAAAGGGGTTGTTTGTTCGTTGAGGCCAATAAGGCATTTCCACGTTATTTTTTATTGTTGGAATGTCATTCCAGTTTCTTTAATTTACGAACGTTTTCAACTTTAATTTATTCCGTTGAGCATTACCTGAATATTTAATTTTTTTGTTGGGTTAGAAGTTAATTTGTTTTTCATTTGAATGCTTATGTAATATGATCAAATTAAATTATTTGAATTCCCGTAGAA